ACGCCCCCCTTGCTGCTGCAGTGGCGGGGCCAGGGCACGGTCAAATGCTGGCCAGTATGACCCCTGAGGCAGGGTGGGCAGGGATGGGGGTTATTCCCTCCATCGTCCCTCTGCCCCCAGGGGACCACAGCCAGGGTCTGCCCCCCCCAACCACTGCCACTCACTCTATGCATGGGGCAAACAGTGAGATAAGCCCCCTCTGCCAGAGGGATGGGAGGATAATCCCCCTCCCTGCCTCCTTGCCTACGGGGCGCTACTGCACAGTCAGCATTCTTATCTGAGCCATCTAGCTTCCCAAGCTGCCTGACTTTCAGGGTACTTGATTCTCCATACTGTGAGAATGAGGTAGATAAATGGAAGAAGTTGGCTAAGAGATTTAAAGTCCTGAGGTCCTCAACCCTCGAGCAGTCTACATAAAAGGGATGCCTCGCAGCTCAGAGAAACTGGTGACCCTCAAGTACCTATCATAGGAGGGCAAGCCATATTTGGTGCTGCTCTGATGGTAAATACATGGAAGCACAGGCTCCTCTGTAGCCTACAAAGATTGCTAGGAGAAAACTAGGCACAGTTTCACTGGAAACAGAATTGTTTTTATGAATCATTTCAATATTGATGAATCGGCATTTTTGGACAAAAATCTGTTTCATTGGAAAATTCCCAACCAAATCTACTGCCTTTTCACTGTGTCTTAGGCATGGCATTACATCAGTAATAAAGTTAGTCTCCAATGAAACTACTAGGAAATAGGACATGGTACAAAATATTATCTCCTATTATGTAATATTGCTTAGATTTTTTGTTATAGTGCCTGACTACTCAAGGTAAAATAATATGCAATATTACGGGCAGCAAATGGGTCATGTCAAGACTATTTTTGATGCCAAAAAAAAGAATTTTCCCCCAACTGGCTATTTTGTCAATAAGATAAGAAAGCTAGTTCATTCTTAGTTAGGGAAATGATCTAATTATAACACAGTTTGTTATCAGTTAGCATTGTTTGAATTATCACTCTAGTTGGCATAAAACAAAGTGATTAAAAGGGGAATTAATGGAAATTGCCTTACAATCTGTCCTTATAATTTAGCCTGTATATGTTTATGACAATAAGGGAAATAGCAAAGGGTTCCATGAGGAAAACCTGCAACTTGATCTTGTAAACAGGATGTTCTCATAATGGGTGATCTTAAGTGTAAAAATGCAGACAGCTTATTTATTCTGGCACACTATACAAATAAAATGTACCCTGTGCTCTGCTATAGCATTTATTGGATATTTTATATATATCTTTCAAAGGATGTAGAAAGCCATGCCAACTTAACAAGCTTTGTGGTGGCATGCAGTATTGGGAACATTACCATCCGGGACCTCCAGGAAAAAGTCACGCTTACAATTAAACACACCAAAATTCAGGTAAGAAAACACTGGGTATCCAGAATAAAATTTCACATTATGTGTATTAGAAGACAGAGCTCAGCAATAGAAAGACTTTTAATGGGTCTGAAGACTGACTCAAAAAGAAAGACTTTTTGAAGACTCTGATTTTGTTGGTTTTCATAGAAATCTTCAGTATCCTTACTGAATAAGGAAAAAATAAGGTTTGTAAAAACAAAAAAAAATGTATGGCTTAGCACTCACCTGGAATGATATTCTTCAGTCCCACTACAGATTCTGTGCTGATAGTATTTAATAACATTAGATCTCTTCATGACTTGTGCGTTATTTAGTGTTGAAAGGAATGCCAGATTTATCTGAATTCTTTGATCAAACATGAGTCAGGGTAGAGCAGGGGCGGGCAATTATTTCGACTGGAGGGCCGCTTACTGAGTTTTGGCAAGCCATCGAGGGCCGCACGATAGGCAGCCAGGGGCAGATAAATATTAATTTTCTAAATTTTTTAGGGGCCCCTCGGGCCGGATAGAATGGCCTGGCAGGCCGCATCTGGCCCCTGGGATGCATTTTGCCCACCTCTGGGGTAGAGAATATGAATTTTTGTTATTTTTTGACTTCCCACAAATATAAAAGGATTGATCACATCATTTAAAAGTGGTTGATTCTTATTGATGGGAAATGGAAGCCTAAAAAAATATTTCACCATGTTCTATATCTGTTTTAAAAAAAATAGTCCAATGTATGAGTCTTTTTCTGCTCTAAGACGTTGTCGAAAGTAGGCTGCTGCTTCTACCAGGACTTCTGCCAGCAGCTGCCACAGGGAAGCCTCTGAACAGTCCTGGTAAGCCTTATTGTACTGGCAGGTGCAGAATGTACCCTGGGAATGCACCCAGTGCTGGAGAGACCACAGCAGCTGGCACAAGGTGCAGGGTTGTCAAATTATACCCTCTACTGGCTTCCAGATGGCAGCAGAAATGTTTTGATCAGAGTAGTAGTGTTACCCTGCTAGCAGAAAGAAGGGTCTCACTCTGCACAGGGTGCTCTTCATGTAAATGCATTTATAGTTTTTCTGACAGAACCTGAATTTTGCTTGCAAAACTATGTAATGTAGGCCAGGACTCAGATATGGTTGTATACATCAGGAAAAGCTCCACAGGAGACAAGAAAGTTGTATCGGCCCTAGACCATTTTAAGTGAGGAGAATGAGCCCTGTTGCAAATGGAAAGAATAAAAAAAATCATATTTCAATTAGTTTAGGCTTACTTTTTATTGGTTAGCCTAGATGACTCCTAAATGGATTCATGTGAAATCCATATTGATTTTCCAAAGTGTTGCCAAACATCTGCTGATGAAAACCTTGACAATCCCAATGAAAGTGAACAAGGAAAAGTACTTCTCCTTTACATCCCACAAAGACTTCATATATGTGCCGAATTTAAACGAGACTAGTACTTATATGTGCAGTTTAGACACAGGTATGATTTTTTGCAGGACATTAGATTTTAATGTCTTTAGGGCAGGATTGGCATTCTGACAGAGAGGGTCGTTGACTGAGACCTCTAAATACTTTCACAATACAAATAATAATTATTCTCTTCATTTTAATGCAAAACCATAACCAATGGAATATCTGCTGCATTTATACACTAGCAGGTTTTATATTTTGTGAGATATAAAATGTTTATTTGTACATTATTTTTAGGAGAATCCTAGTCCTATCTGTGTCTTTTGGGATATGAACAAAAACAGTAAGTTGAAACATATTGCAGTTTCATTTTTGGAGCAAATAAAGTATTCTCTGTTTTAAATAGCTCATGACCTTTGTATTAGAATGGACAACATGATAGTTATTCAGAATCCATTTTTAATTAATGTAGATGTCCTTCTGTAATTTTCTTTCTTCTTTATTGGTCCAAAGTAATGAATAGAGACTGATGAAATCACCAGTCTACTTGCTTGTCTGGATAACAGTTCTTGCTTTGACATCCAAAGATAGCTATCACTGTATGGAATATGAGTAAACTTTATATACATATGCACATCCAAAGGCTTCAATATTGGGCATTAAAGGTTGCAGGCACATCTGTACTCAATGACAGTTTTATTTCTTATTTTCCCTCATGTTCATATCAAATAGAAATATCATCAGAAGTAAGGACAGCATGTTAAAAGTTTTTGCTCAAGCTTCTCTGGAAAAGGGGGTGTATATTCATTCAGACAAGTGTACATTTGGAGCAGTTTCAAAGGGGGAGGGGACACTGTTGCTCTAGACTATGCTGTAACTGCAATGGTCTAACACAGGGCTGTCTGGCTGGTGGTTATCCTCCACCTTTTGCTACCTGCCCAAGGGGCAGGGCAGTTCAGTGTGGCACAGCATGGCAAGGGAGCTGAGGGTGAGCCTCAGGCCATGTAGATAAATGGTACAATGGTTGCAGGGGGATGCTGGCATGCAGTGCAGCAGTGAGGGTGGGATTGCAAGTGTGTGGTGCAGTGGTGGTGGGGTGTCTGCACAGTATGCAGCCCCGGGACCCTGTAGCCTGCCCTGGTGTGGCCTGTGGGTATGCAGCCCCCCACTAGTATGGTCCAAAGGACATTCAGTCCCTGGCCACTTAAAAGTGGGACAGTGCTGCAATAATCTGTGCACAAACAGGATGTGATACCACGTAGCAAAACAGCTCCAATTTTAACACCGCTTCATCCAGGGTTAGAGCAGAAGCAGTTGTGCTATATTTTTATCCCTCCCAGCCTGTGCACATTTAACTAGTGGAACATCACAGCAGCTGCACACTCCTCAGCAGCAGCTCCCTCTCTCCTTTTGAAACTGCTCCAGGTATACATTTGCCCATACCCTCCCTTCACTTCGGAGTTGCGAAAGCTAGCTACCTGTAAACTTATTCCTCCTATCATGAGTCATGAGCTCCTTTTGGTCATATAGCAGGAAAGGAAGCCATTCATGGTAATTTAATATGCAAAGGATTTGGACATCCATTTCAAAAGTGACCCCTGCCTGGGTGATGAGTTTCCATCATGGAATGCACAGCAGTATGGCAGCAGGTCAGGCCATCCATAGTATGGTCACTGGAGTGTGCTGAGAGTTGAACATGCAGGCTGTTACCTTACTGTCCTGAAAATTAAAGAATTCTGTTAATTCAGTAAATTTGATTCTTCATCTTCTTGCTGGGACACTTCAGCAGAGGCATCATTATCAATCATGTCTGGTACTCAGCTACTCTTCCCAGGGAGGTGGGGTATTGAGTGCCAGAGAGCAGGGAAGAGAGAGGAGGGTGAAGGAACTTGTCTTACCAGATTTAGGGATTCAAAGACCCCTGCTGATCCTGCCACAAGTGATGCAGGACTACACCTTACATCTTCCTACCCTGGGTCCTATGACCAGGTAATATGTGGCTTCTCCAGCTCAGTTCCTATGACCAAACATCTGCTCTGGCAAAATATTTGGGGGGGGAGGGAGTTATGTTGTGTAGGTGCCACCTCCAAGTCAGCACTCAGGACTGTTGCCATGCCCCCCCCCAATACTTACACTGCTACATTTCAGTAATTTCCATACCTTACTTCTGTCTCTTGTTCAACCAGCTCTTCCTCCTCTAAATATTCAGCTTGGGGAGGTTCATGATAATAAGAATACAAGTTTTGGACTGCTTCAAAGCATCTCAATTCTGGCTATAATGAACATAGTACAGTATACTGTACATCAAACCCTTCTGAAACCAGACTAACCCACTTTCTACGCTCACGTGAGACCTTTGATATTTGGGAAACTTGAAGAAGTAAATGGAAACATCTTTGAGGAAAATATATGGAGAACTGGGATGCAGAATTGAGAAAAAGAGATGAAGAAGGTGCAGTCTATTCCAGGGGATGGACTGAGACAAAAGGAAGAGAGTCTAAGCAGACCCAGGATTTCTTCCATTTCCTTTGAAGATTCTCAATTTTGATGTGGCAGGAGTGGGAAATCTAGTAGAAATTTTAGTGGATTTGGGTTAGATCTGAGTTAGCACCATTTCTTTCACACTTTCTTAAGTTTTAAAGCTAAAAGAATTGTTATGTTCATCCAGCCTGGCCTGCCATGTAACACAGACCACAGAATTTGATGTAATAGCTTCTACTCCATCCACTCTGCAGAGCACTTGATTAACACAATCCTAGGTTGATATATTTTGTATTATTGGATTTGCTTTATTTCAAGGCTTTTTCCACTTGAAAGAATACTATAATACATGTAGGGACCCTGGATATCTGGAAAAGACATTGTGCTATGTCTTTTTTGATTTTGCCTGAAGTTGTGGTTTCTATTGTTTGATTCCTGTAGATGGTCAAGGCGGTTGGAATGCTACAGGCTGCATTGCACAAGACTCAAATGAGAATGAGACAGTTTGCTTATGCAATCATCTTACACATTTTGGGGTACTCATGGTACGTGAGCCTTCACTATTTTGTTATAGGTCTTGGGGGGCAAGAGAAGGGTTTCTATATATTTGAGTTTCTTCCCATTCAAGTGAGATTTTTTTTTACTAATATATCATTCTTCTGGTACCTAAATATTGTCTAGTAGTAAGGAAGGGCTAAGGGTAAAATAAAATGATAAATCAAAGTGATCGAATAAAATCAAGCAAGCAAGATAATTTTGTATTGTATTCTCCAGACAAAAGGTATATAAGTAAAATCCGTCCACAAAGGTACCCAGATATTGAAAAACTTGTAGTACAATAGCAGCCTTGATTCTGGTTGGACCTGGTTTGCCACAATATAAATAATGTAAAATGTAAGGCTGCAATACTGCTGAGCACAATATTGGCAGCTGTGGGTGAAGCCAGGAGAAGCCTAGCATTGGGTGGAAGCAAACTATATATCAAGTAGAGTCCTGCCAATGCTCCAGCAAAAAAAAAAGAGAGATTGGAATAAATCTATTGTAACTGTGTACTGCTGTGTAAATCAAGCCAAATGTTACTGAACAAAAAAATATGAAAAGGAAAAGTATGAAATTGCAGTCTTTTCTTGAAGACTAGTGTTTTTTTTTCAAAAACAACAACCTTTTCTGGGTTCCCAAACCTTCAGCATACACTGTACCCTGGCTCTCACTTTAACATTAATATTGTTTGGCGTCAGAAACATTTTTCCAGGCAGAATGTTTGCTATGAAGACAGGTACATGTGTTTTGATTTAACTAGTTTAAATGGGTTTTAAAAATATAATAAAAGAAAGCTATAAATATTTCAAATACCAAGAGATGAAGTGAGGGAAACAGGAAAATCTTTTCCTCGCAGGATAACTTATAGTGCAAGGGAGTCATACAGTTTCAACTTTGGCTTCCATAAGTCCTATTATACAGTTGCTTTCTTCACATCATGCTTGAATTTAAATATAAAAAAAAGTCATAAGCCTTTTTTGTCCTTTTCTAAGCTAATTATATTCAAGTATCATTTCTCATGCTTAAAGGGAAAAAAGGAGCTTTCTTTGGGATATGCTCAATAAGCCCCTTCTCTTACTCTGAATGCCTCTGTGACATTAGGAAGTGAGAAGGAAGTTTTCTGAAATTTGGCCATGTGCCAAAGGGACATTTTTACATACTTTTAACCTTTCTAATTAATTTTTCATTTTTGCTATTCCTATTTGAATTTCCATAGAGATATTTGCCTAACTTCGGAGAATAATCTCTTGATTTAAGCAACGTGCTTCACAAGTATATAACATATACATATGGAAATTGGCTATAAGACATTCCTACATTTGACAATGAAGAATGCAGTATTTTTAAAGTTTAAATAGTATCCTTTTGCTGGATATTTTTGCAAAAATACCCATCAAATAACAGCAGTGACCATGTGACAGTCACCATTAAATGGTATTTTTTGCTAACATTTATTGCAGAGTAATACAGATCCAGAAAAGCTGCAGTGTTTTCTTGTACTTAGAAAAGGAAATGACATTGGCAGTTATTCTGAGACAGTACTATGTGGCAATTAGGGCTGGACTAAAAACAGGAAAAATATCCCCCAAATGTTCCCATTTCACTTCCAATTTTACTGTTGAATTGTTGTCTTTGTCACAATTTTCTTACCAGCATTATTTATAACTCTTATTTTATAGGTCAAAACAGACTACTAAGCCACAGAGCAACATTTTGCCCTTGGTTTCACCCACACAACACAGTTAGAAGTCAACAGGGTAGCAAAGGTGTGAGTGAAATATTTGTTTCATAGATCCTTAGATCCTACCACATCCTTAGCAATTGGTGTTGAATGGAGCTATTGCTAGAAGAACCATAACCATTCTCCAGCACAATCACATATTAAGTGCAATTATCAGTAGTACATTCAGTTTGAACATTTGTAAAAGAAAGGAGCCTCCTGAAAATAAAGGTGTCAAGAAAATGAGGAATTGCAAACAGTAGATTTTTCTCACGAAAAGGCTATTTGAAATCTGGGCATAGAAACAATATGAGTAAGAGAGTCTATGTGCATCTGATTATCCCATCTACTACAATACTCACAGTGCACTGTTTTCTAGGGTTGTGGGAAGGAAGTCAAAGGTGTGACTGTAGACTAAATATACCCAGTAAAAATGATCTTAATGTTAGGGATATATAGATACTGCCAAAGTGGGGGGGTTTTGAGTTTTTACTTGACTTACTACCAAGAAACTGTATCAAGTTCATTAAATGGAGTTTTATGGAATCTGTGTTTTTTCCTCTTCTCTCATGTAGGACCTCCAGGGAACAGCTTCAAAAATAGATTCACAAAATAACAAAGTCCTCACCTTCATCACCTACATTGGTTGTGGAATATCTGCCATATTTTCAGCTGCAACTCTTCTGACATACATTGCTTTCGAGTAAGTATTTATGCTTTCAAGAATTTGTGCATGCTAGAACTATTCTGAAAGAAATAGAAGGGGAAATTAAATGAAGATTTGTGAACTACGCAGCAGTTTCAAGAACAATCCCACTGAAATGACAGGATGTTTAGGAGATTTTGGTATAATTTTTAGGAAAGTGAAAAGAGGAATTCCAATGACGTTGTTTTAGCTGCCAGCCACACAGTAATGGTAACAGGACAGGATGGCTCGCCAAAGAATAGATTTTACACAGAAGTACTCCAATTACTGCAAGCTGTCTATAGTATAACATCATGGTCAAAAGAGACTATAATTTGCTGGTGAGGTCCTCAATACACACAGTGTATTATGCACTAGTTGGAAGGAAATATATTTGATTTTGAAGCTTTCTCAGACATTTTCAAACAACAGAGAATGATGCTATGTCCTACTAAACTAATTAATTTTTTTTTTAAATAAACAGAAGTAAGTTCCTGTTTGGTACTACGTTGTTTCCTTTAATTTGTATCTGATATTCAATGAAATGCTAACCTCTTGTTCTTAAATTTATTCAAAAAGGTTTTAGTAATTAATTACATGCCTAGAATAAGTGCAGTAAGATTATTTGTTAATGACCACCTGCTGCAACTCAGGAATGGATGTGGATTGTCCCCTAACAAATTAATAGAGGACTTCAACAATAGTCTGTTAACGTACATGCCTCCATGCTGTATTGCCATATCGGCTTGTTGCCAATAAGAGACCTTTGTTCTTTATCCTTATTTCTTTTATAAATTACTAACCATATCTGTTGCAAATGATATGTCTGTGTGTTTGTCTCTCTAGGAAGCTACGAAGAGATTATCCCTCTAAAATCTTAATGAATTTGAGCACAGCCCTGCTCTTTCTTAACCTGTCCTTCTTGCTTGATGGTTGGATTGCATCATTCAACATAGATGGTCTGTGCATTGCCATCGCTGCCCTCCTGCATTTTTTCCTTCTGGCCACCTTTACATGGATGGGACTGGAAGCTGTTCACATGTACATTGCTCTAGTAAAAGTATTCAACACCTACATTCGGCGATACATACTGAAATTTTGCATCATTGGCTGGGGTAAGTTCAAAAGGATATATTTTGTATAATATATAGGTACTAAATTATTAATGTGTATTATTTGTGCCATCAGAACTGCAGTGATCAGACTCATAGGCTGCATCCAGATGAGCACAGTTGTGTGGTATGTAGCACTGTAGACACATCTGCAGTGCCACATACTGCACATTCAGCTGTTTAGTGTGCTGCAAGGTAGCAGCATGGGAGGTTTTTTTTGACCCTTGGATATCCAGAGGTCAAACAAACCCATGCAAAAAAAGAAAAAAAGAGTAGAGTGGCACATTTGGGGGCAGCACACGCCACTCAAAACCAGAGCTTCGCCAGCTGGAGCCATGCTCTGGCTGCCGCCCATGCTCCAAGCAGCAGGATTACCACTCCTGCAGCCCCAGGAGGCCCCCAGAACCCCAGGTAAGGCTGCTAGGGCCAGCCCAGTGCTGGCCTTAGCCTCTTCTACCACTCATGGTAACCTGCTGCATGCCAGAGGTCACATGGCATAGGCATTCCCCGAGGACAACTAGCAGCAGCAGCACAAGGTATCCTGCTGCTAGGTGTCCCTGAAGAACCAAATGTCCATGCTCATGTGGATGCTGCCATATATGGTAAGTGCAGAGTAAATATGTAAGTGGCAGCCATTGTCATGAAGAGCCTAAAACCTCAAGAGATGAGAGACAAAAGGTGAAGTATTACCTTTCCATCAGTAGAGCATGAAAGACAAAGAAGTTAAAGACCCAATCCAGTCTCTCCTTTGCATTGACTTTCAGTGGACTTTGAATCAAATCCAAGGTTTCTTGCCAAAGAATACATTCTGTGGCAGAATTAGGAACTGAACCAAAATTTCTCAATGTTGGTACAGTGGTTTAACCACAAGTAATCTTTCCAGTCTTAAGATATTTTAACATATAAAAGTATTGCTGGAAAAATCACTGTAGGATTCATGAAGCAAGACAGCTCTTTATTTTTTCTGTATTGGATATATTTGGCTCTGTCTTTTGTGTTTAAAATACTGCAAAGCACACAGAACAGTTAGCCTCCTGACTAAAGTGGCAATCACAGTCCAATTTAATCAAAATTAGTCTAGGGCTGTCAAACGATTAAAAAAAATTGATCGTGATTAGTTGCACGATTAAAAACATTAGTCATACAATCACACAACTAAAACCACAAAATTATACGCAGAAAAACTCAAAATTATGAAAAACTATGCAGGTACTTTGTATGGTTGGAGGGTGAGGGTGTGGGGGTGTGGAGGGGAATTTGTGAAGGTGTGGGGCCTATGGGGGGGGGCAGTTTAGAACCAAGACAGGGGGGTCCCCACACTCCCTGGCAGGATGCGGGGTACTATAGGTCAGGAGTGAGGGGCAGCAGCAGGGTTTGGGAGTGAGGTGCACGCGCACGCACACACACACACGGCTTCCTGAAGGTAAGTCTGTAGAGGGAAGGGGTGGGTGGGCAGATTGAAGCCCCTATGGTGAAGGAGGGCCTAGGACAGGGATGAATGGGACCTGGGGCCAGGGCAGATCATGGGATGGAGTCACTGGAGGCTTGTCCAGGAGTGCAGGGGTCACGGCTCCCCACTGCTGCGCACACCCCCAGGGGAGGCATGGAGGGCACATGCCCCCAGGATTTGTGTGCAAGGGTGGAGGCAGGCTGCCTGCAGCCAGCTGGGACTCTGCCTCCTGCTTCCTTTGCCCCAGGAGCCATGCGGTCCTATGTTGTGCCTCTCACCACCAGGCAGGCAGGAGACACATGGTGCAGCCAGCACACAGCTCCCAGGGCAAAGGCAGGAGGGCACGGAGCCCCAGCCCATAGCAGAAAGCCCACCTCTGCCCTGCACACAAATGCCCCTCTATGACTGAAGAGTAATTACAGTTTATTCATCCAACCGATACTTCCTTATCTTGCTTTAGAGATGTGAAAGGTTAAATGATTAACTGTTTAACCGATGAGTGTAGTGATAACGGGTTAGCTTACTGATTATCCTTAGCTTGGGCCAGATGCAGTCACAGAAGCAGGGAAGGGAAGCCCTGTGGTGTCCTAGCGGGAATCAGAAGTTAGCAGGGCATGCAGGAAGGAGAGAAGAGTGAGGAGTAGAGGAGGGGGAGAGAGAGGGGTGAAAGGGGTGTAGTACTCCTAGCCTAAAAGAAAAACAGAGAGCAGCTTAATGACTCATCAATTAAACAATTAGCTGCTGGTTCACAGGTGCTTCCTCCCTTCCAGCACAAGAGTTTCACATGGGCTGTGTTGCCCTGCTGGGCTTGCCTTCTCTCCAGTTCCTACCCAGTCAGAGGGCTCTGGGAGCTAGGAGTGGCTCCCAGTTGCAGCTGTGTCCAAGCTGCTGTATTATCAGTTAATTGTTTGACGAATATAATTAAAGGAGGTTAAACAAATATTTTTAAATTATATTTACATCCCTAGCTTGCTTGCAAGAATGTTGTGAGAGATTGTATTAAAAGCCTTGCTGAAGGTGGGGTATATCACATCTGCTGCTCTCCCCACATCCACAGAGCCAGTCATCTCATCGTAGAAGGCAATCAGGTTGGTCAGGCGTGACTCCCTTGGTGAATCCAAGGTTAAGTCAGATACACGTTGTATGACATGTACGCAGTGTTGTGTACCTGCAGCTTCCATTGACTGCGGTGAGATTTGTAAGGGCTTACTGAGTAATTATTTATTTTGTGTCCTTTCTCTATTCTGTGGGATGACATAGAGAGATCTGGAATTATATAGCTACATCAAGATATTCTATTCTGATGCAATAGGTTGCAGCTCTTGATGTTATTCTGATTTGCATAGAGGTCTCACGTTTGTAGAGTTTTTGAAAAGAAAATCACCATAGTGTTGTCTTGTATTACAGGTTTGCCTGCTCTAGTGGTGGCAATTGTTTTGGCCAGCACAAATACAAATGCAGGTCGTATCTATGGGAAAGAATTATATGGCAGAGATGCTAACGGGCAAGGAGGAGATGATTTGTAAGTAATTTTTAAGAGCATTACAAGTCAGTGTATACATTTGGCAAATAATTTGGGAGTGGCCAAACTGCTTTCATAAAGCTCATAAGTGCAAAATCAAAGCCAGGTCATTATCTCCTAAGTTATTTATAATTGAATCTTTTTAAAAGTGTTGAAAATAATTTCCCTGTGAACCAAACCAGTGTAAAAAATATCACTTATACTGCTGAAAGCAAATAAATCTTAACATTCCTATTTCATATATATCATATATTTCAAATAAAGAAAAAGCATTGCAAGAGTGGACCACATTTCCCTCAGGCTGCATCTATATGTTAAAAGTCAGTAATTTTTTTGATGAGTCTTATAAAAAAGTAGGTGTAACCTTTATGCTCCTGGCAAGATACCAGTGTATCCCATAGTGACATTTAGAGGCTCCAGAGTATTACTCTGGTTACAGAAACAAAATGTCCAAAGATTTGAGTTGTTACACAGGAGACGTTTTGTGCAGTAATGAAGATAGATATAGAATAACCTTGCTTATCTTGATCAAAATAACCAAAGAGGTGCGTAGTTTCCAATGTCTAAGAAAGATGGCATTTTGTTATTTTTACAGCTGCTGGATCAAAGATGGCACTGTCTTTTATGTGACTTGTGCTGGCTACTTCGGAATCATGTTTCTCATGAACATTGCCATGTTTATTGTGGTGATGGTGCAGATCTGTGGAAGGAATGGGAAGAGAACAAATCGGACCTTGCGGGAAGAGATCCTGAGGAATCTCCGTAGTGTGATCAGCCTGACTTTCCTGTTGGGCATGACGTGGGGCTTTGCCTTTTTTGCTTGGGGCCCCTTAACTCTCCCTTTCATGTACCTCTTCTCAATTTTCAATTCCTTGCAAGGTAAGGTGAATTCCAGTTCAGTAAGCAATGCAAAATAAAGCTGCTGATGTTATGGGAAGAGCTGCCCCAGCATCTTGAGAAAGTGACTTAAAGCCAAGTTTTTTAAAGATAAATACTTGCTCTAATGTGCTGAGTCGCTTTAATTCTCTCTGTTTCTCACTTTCCCATCTATAAAACAGTTAAACCCGTGCACACTATAAGGCTCAGTTTAGTCGTGATCATGTATAGTTCCAAGTCCTTCCAATAACATGCACTCCATGGTTACCACTACCCCTTTCCAATACAGTTTGAAATATACCAAGAATATCCAGAATATATGGCAAGCAAGATTGAGATTTCCTTTAGTGCAGAATTACAAATGTAGGAAATCCCTTTACTCAATGTTTTTCCTTAGGGAAACTGCAAAGCTTATAAATACTTGTTAGAAACTATTGCCAGATCATTAAAACAGATCTCAGTTCTGCATTGATTTACGGTGAATAGACAGTAGAATGATATATGAGACCAGCTTGGCTTTGGCTCTATTAAATTCCCAACAGTTTCAGGAAACTCCAGTGACTACAGCAATCCGTTTATATCAGTTTCCTTATTGAAGGTTAGGGTATTTTATTTTTCCAGCCTTGTTCATCCTTCAGTTGTGGAAAATGCTGTAAATTGTAATCAAGTCCTAGTACATTATAGAACTATGCAACTGACATTTAAAATGATTTAAGTTCAAAGCTGATTTGTGTATGTGCCATACAACGCAAGAGACTCCATCTCCCAAAAAAAATCAATAAGAGTGTAATTTATGGAAAGCTTATTATCCCACAAACAAATAAACGCAGAAATGAAACTACCGCTTGCCAGAGGTCAGCAAAATAGCTTCCCTTCACGGAAAAAAGAGAACTCACTTAATCTTTGCACTATGTGGATTACTTTCTATCTGCTACAGATGAGACAAATTTACTGCTAAAATTTATTGGGCTTTCATGGAAAGAGCATAATGTGGTGGTTTTTTTGGTTTGGTTTGGTTTCAAATTGAGATGCTAAAGAAAATGGCTAAAAGGTGGTATCTACACGTGCAGCCCAATCAGGCCTCTGAAAACGAATAAACTCCACAGCAGTATTTACAAGTACTACCCTGCTGCGGAATATTTTACTCCACGGAAATGCATGTGTAGACACTGCTGGGGCTGACTGGGACATGAGGATGCTTCAGTGTGAGGTCCACCTGCTGGCTAGCCCCACACTGGAGCATCCGCGTGCCCCAGCCAGCCCCTCTGCAGCACATTGAGCTGGGCTGGAACAGCCCCAGACTGGCAGGCTTATCCCCTGGGTCCCCTGCCAGCTGGGGCTGCTGCACCCCGGCTCAGTGTGCAGTGGTCCTGGTTGCATGTGTAAACACAGCACCTGGGAGCACTAAACTCTGATGTGTTATATGCTGGATTTTAGAGCTGCAAATCAAATTGCACATGTAGATGCACCCCCCTGAGAATAATTACAGACTAGACTCATAGCAACATAGGACTGGAAGGGAATTCAGAAGTCATCTAGTCTACCTCCCACATGAACACAGCTTTTAATCCTACCAAAATTATCCCTGATACATCCCTATCCAGCCTCTTAATGTCACAGAAGGAATTCTACAGTTTATCTAAGCAGCTTGTTCCAATACTTAGCTGCTCTACATAGAGGAACATTATTCTGGGGTTTAACATGAACCTTCCTTCTTGTCCTACCTTCAACAGCTAAAGAGGACAAGCTAAAATTCAGCAAATAGTCTCTTAGCATAACTTCTATTGCCTTCATTAGACGTTTTATATATAGTGTACTTGCAGGCTCAAGTAATGAGTCTCAGTGGGAAAATAACTATTTTCAGTGGGAAAGTGATGCACTTGCATTGAATACACATGAAAACAACCGTATTGTCAAAAATTAACCAAACCCCACAATCACCATTGCAAATACCTAATGAGTGAACACATGGGGAAAAACTGAAAATCAATTATTAGCTTGCTATGAGATATAGTATCGCAGTGCCAGAAAGGTTTGCTGAAGCTGAGAAAATTCATAGAAGAGTAGCAAAATCACGGAGGCTGGAGACCACCAGGAAGTAATGAGGTAAAACCAACTAAAGGAAAATTTGGGAGTTGTATCAGGAAATATTTAGAACAGCAAACTCTAGTTCTCCCACAGGAATAAGGTGAAATCAGCTTTGAACCTAAATCATTTTAAATGTCAGTTGCATAGTTCTATAATGTACTAGGACTTGTTGAATGTCCTAGGACATTCAAAGCTGATTTGTGTATGTGCCATACAACGCAAGAGACTCCATCTCCCAAAAAAAATCAATAAGAGTGTAATTTATGGAAAGCTTATTATCCCACAAACAAATAAACGCAGAAATGAAACTACCGCTTGCCAGAGGTCAGCAAAATAGCTTCCCTTCACGGAAAAAAGAGAACTCACTTAATCTTTGCACTATGTGGATTACTTTCTATCTGCTACAGATGAGACAAATTTACTGCTAAAATTTATTGGGCTTTCATGGAAAGAGCATAATGTGGTGGTTTTTTTGGTTTGGTTTGGTTTCAAATTGAGATGCTAAAGAAAATGGCTAAAAGGTGGTATCTACACGTGCAGCCCTGTTGTTGGAATAATTTATAAGAACAGTGAGCAATACTGTAGTATTCACTGGAAATACTTCCTGCTTTGGCAGGCTGATGGATTAGGGACATCCTTTAACTCTAATGGCCTTTGGATCAGACCCTTGATAAATAAGTCTTTCCCACCTCTGATTTCTCTGAAACTGTATTGGTCATAAGTTATATCTCTAGACTCATTTATGCCTTGGCATCTGGTGGATGGTAGTAACTACTGGTATTATTGTTTTTCATCTTTTCATCTGCATAGGAAATGATCTTCTGGATGGTTTTCTTTCTTTGATACTCAGAGTAAAACGCTAGAAACATCTCTTTTTTGGCTACTAATTTTACATATGCCTGCACAAGCCAAATACTTTGTAAGTGAGAGCCGAGCTAGAGCCACCCGTGGGGTCTGAATTTGGCTCTCAGAGACAAGTTGTGTCATTGACACACACTGTTAACTTCATGAATGATAAAATACTGAAAAGTATATCTTAAGGACTAAACCCAAACATGGCAAAGGCAAAGGCAAAGGGATTGCATCCATTTTTCTTACCATACATTTATGTATTTTCCTTGTTTACCTTTGCATATTGTTCCTAATTTTCACAATATTTTAATTCTGCATTACGTTTTATAATTATGATTGCAACAGTGCAAAAAGTGAAGGGGCACAGTAAGAACTAGACTGAGGCTTTAAAGCATATATTTAAGCATGTGAGAATGTGGACTTCTAACATACGTAAAGCACATACATTAGTGCTTCGCTGCATCAGGGCCCAAGTGCAAATTCAGTCTTTCTGAATATATAAAGTATATCTGACAAGGGACTAATGTATGTGAAAAAGAGGTTAATGGGCTTTTTCCCTTTCTAGATTATATCCTCTCATTCTTTTTATCAACCATCAATTCATTTGAAAATAGCATTATTCATTATTCAACTATCTTTACCACAAGCAACCAGGCTGGATCCACTCTGACCTCATTGCCTCCAGTATGGGCACTGGTTTAAGGTTATAGAAGCTCAGGTTCATGACCAGTGTGCATGCAAAGGGGCTTCATTACCCAGGGTTTTAGTGGATACAGAGCAGATTATTTTATGGATGGGAAAAATGCTTTCCAAATTACACATTGTCCTTTTGTTCTTCTATCCAAAAGTCTGTGGGCATTATCCCATAGTATTACTCATGATGAGGATAAAGGAAGAATCTCAAGGTTCCCCAGTTAAGTGTTTTGGCCTGCAATAAGACACACTTAAATCACTTTGCAGATGTTATCATATATGGATCTGGCAGTAGCAATTGCCTCAGGTGTTCAGCATTGGGTTGGCAGTGTCTCAGTAAATGAGAATGAAACAGGGACCAGCCAAGGCAAAGAGAAATGGAAGATTCCACAGCTAATGACTGCCTATGAAGAGCCAAGAAACTACTTCTAGTATCAAAATTAGCACTGAAGTATCTTTGGGGAATTATTGCAGTTATGCCATCAACCTGAGTTGATCAATGTTTAGCAATCCTAGCAACTCAGGGCATTCTTAAATGTGAAGGCTATAAAAAAAATGCAAAAAAATTATTGTTGCTACAGAACACACATGCGTTTGTGGACACCTTTACTACAACAATATGAGCAAACGAGGTAATTGCTTTTAGAAAATACTACTCGTGTGCCCATGTTGTAGTCTACAAATATATTTTCTCCAGGTTTAGGCTTATTTTCAGGAAATGCACATGAAAATACAGGTGCTGTTTTTTGTGTACTTTTTTGGTACAAAGACCTCCAGCCTCCAGGTTTTAATAATATTGGCCCTGTAAGTCTGGTACCTGAAGAGTTAAACAGACTAAAAACTCCCTAATAGGAAAATATATCCCAGTACTTGGCTTCCAGTCTTGATTTCGAACTTTTCCATGGTTCATTCAATTCAAAGCAAGTTCTGACGCTGTAAGAATTAGAGGACAAGTAAGCTTTCATTGGCTTGACCATATTTTACATTACACACCTCAGTGGTTCTGGTTGATTCCATTAGGAACAGGGGATACTGGTTTTCTTAATATGTTTCTGAAAAAAATATACATTGTATATTTTAAGGGAGCATATATACACATGTATATATGCTCCCTTAAAGAACAATACTTCTTAATATTTTTTTAACCTTTTTAAACTCTGCCACTCATTTTTTGCATTGCTTGCAGGTTTATTTATATTTATATTCCACTGTGCTATGAAAGAAAATGTACAGAAACAATGGAGGAGACATCTCTGCTGTGGCAGATTCCGGCTAGCAGACAACTCAGGTAAAAACAGGCTCCATTCCTTAGACCCAGGAGTAAGCTGGAAAAGGCCGATGGGCAGCTTACACAGCTACACAATTCAGGCCACAGATGTGAAAAGAGCAAGGAGTATGATGATTAATAGTGTATTGTTTCAATAACAGCAGTTGCTGGGGGGTCTTTAGATAAAACTTAATAAAAAAAGTCTTGAGACCTTGCTTTAAGTTTGCCAGCTGGTAAGTTTTGTAATTCTGTAATCATGGTTATTGAAATCCCTTTCATTTTCCTACAAGTCTTTCAGTATTTTAAAATGGTTAAAATACTTAGCTAGTGTAAACTGGTTTCACCTTATTGATTATGGCAGTTTTATACCGGGTATTGATCTCACCTCCAGATAATATGAATATTTGACTTAGCATCATTGACTTGAGAGTATTTGGTCACTTAGGTTTTAAGTGACTGCCATAGGCAGTTTAGCTTCTGACATTTTTTTCCAAATGACTTTAATGCCTGCAGGAAATTACCACTGTAAATTGTGATCCACCATACCATGTCAATTTATAATGAGAAAACGAATCATACCGTGAACAGGTTAACACAGGGTGCATCTACACATACATTTGATCTGAGATCAGTTTACTTGCAAGTAAATTATCTGAGAGTAAATGCTCCTGGGAAGGCATCTACACGTGCAGGGACATGGCATCAGATTTGCTGCTCTTAGAAGCAAACTGGTGCAACTTTCTGTGGCCGTGCAATGAGTCATTTTGAAAAGCCAGCCCTGCTCTGCACTCCCTGGCCAGCCATTTCCCTGGCCAGAAGCAGTATGCACAGCACAGGGGCAGCAGGCAACAGCTCTCTCCTCACTACCTCTGCCTACACACACCATGGCTGATCCAGCCCCTGCCCCTGGCAAAAATAACCAGCACCCAGGCTCCTGCTGGCCATCATGCTGGCCCTGTTGGCCCACTGTGCTGACCACCAGCTGGCCTATGGCTGTTTGGGCCCTCCTGGCTCCCTCACATACAGCAACAGTGCTGCAGTGCATTGTCCCAGAGCTGCTGCCATGCAGCTGCTCCCTGGACCCCATCCAGCTGGCCAGACCCCAGCAGGGACTCCAATGACAGGCTGCTGGATGCCATCAGCAGGGCTGCCTTCACCCTCCTGGGCATCCAGCCCTGCTGCCTCTGGGCCCAGGGCAGCCACGCAGCAAGGCAATGCCCCACAGCACCTGCAGGTTCCAGACAGGCTTCTGGGGGTGGGTGAGGATATTCTTGCTGTCACTTTGTGTGGCATCATTACTTCTTATGTACAGGTGCAGTTAAAAGCACCTTTCTGCTTTTCCATCCCCATTTTTACCATGATTGAAGGACCTGGCCCTGATAGCATAGATCTCCCAGTAGAAGACACAAAATTATTGAGGAATGAGGATTTATCACCATATATGTTTATAAACATATGTGCACTGTTGCACTGTTGTGTTGTAGTTACAAAAACAAGGGTGTGATTGTAAGTGGAGTTTTGTAAGCTAAGAAATGCAGATCAGGACCTTGAACCAACCAGGTAAACTAGAGTAACTCAGTAGTCCTGCATGTATTTGTTGTACCCACCTGATGTCTCTCACAAATTGTAAGTCCTGTACAGTAGAATACATCTCATTTTTTGCATGTACAGTCAATGCTTACAATAATGTGACCTCAAATCCTGATTATAGACCATTGGTGTAACCACCATATAAATATATAAAATATTATTTTTACTACCTTTTGGAACCAGTTTTAACTTTACCTATAAAGAACTCAGGACAGATTTGGACCTACCCTGAGTCTACCCAAATCTACTCAATATGAGCAAAATATGAGCTTGTTAGCTCAAGCTCACTTCAACAGATGGTGATGAAGTGAGCTTGAGCTCACAAAAGCTCATGCTATACATCTCTGGTTTTGCTAATCTATAAGGTGCAAATCTACTAAGACAGCTAACCACCTCTCTCTACACCTCTCTGACTTGTAAAATAGAGAAAGCAACTATGGATATAGCATTCTTAAATATAAATATTTCTCTTATTTCTAAAGCAAATCCATGAGAGAAGAAACAAAGCAGGCAACTGTTTTAAGTAATATAAAAAGTGCATCTGATGCTTGAAATTTAAATAGCTGATAAAAATAGGAGCTTAGTTTTAAAACAATTCATTTCAGTTGGAACCGTCTATTCATTTTCAGACTGGAGCAAGACAGCAACAAATATTATAAAGAAAAGTTCGGACAATTTGGGGAAATCCTTATCCTCTAGTTCTATTGCCTCCAACTCAACTTACTTGACATCCAAATCTAAATCCACCTCGAACACATACTTCAAAAGAAACAGCCATACAGGTGAGTTATTTCTGATATGTCACAAAGTTCCTATTTAGATGTGGTGCTTCAAATAATGAACATTTATTTTTGGTATCCTAGGTAAGCCAGTGACTTCCATATGAAAGTAATGCATAAAGATGTTACTTATCTGAGGTGAACTGAGCATTTTAAATTTGTGTTATTGTTTACTATGACTACATTCATTTACTAAGGACTTTTTATCCATTCCCTGTATAGAGTGTCCAGTCAAACTGAATCATGCATCTCTCCGTATAGGGTGTCCAGTCAACTGAACCTGCTTCTTCAGAAGCAATAAGCATCACAGTGCGGGGCAACAGGGATTCCCCCCCACCCACCATTTGGCACCCACGCAGCAGCTGCTCCATGGCACGGGTGCAGTGTAGCTCAGCAGGGCACTGCGCACTGCATGGGAGCTGGGGCGGCTTCACGTGTCAGCCGGCCTACTTTGCACCCAAGAAAATGTATCACTTTAGCAGACTCTCAACACTTTCCTGTACTAATAATTTGCTGATCATCTCATTTTAGAATTCAGTTTCTGTATCCAGTCATCAATATCAGCAATTATAGAATACAGTAATAAACTAGTTCCATTTCACTGACGAATAAAGAAATGTAACAACTTACCAGCAAATTTTCAAATTGTGCAAAACTCATTGCAATAGAAGTTGTACGACTCCTGAGATCCATAAGGTCTGGATAAATGTCAGATTTTCCTTGGGTCAGAAACAACACCGGATACTTATTTTGCTTATGCCGAACCCTGTAGAAAGAGTTTTAAAATACAGAACACTCTTTAACATATTCCTAAGGAAAAGGAATCTTTTCAACAGTGTTTCTAGCACACAAAGTAGAAACCAACACACGACACATAAACAGGTCAACTGATGCACACTCACCAGTGATAAGTTTCCACCCTTTAAGAACTTCAATTGTTTTGTGTCTTCCCAGACTACAGTAATTTACTGCATACAGATTAAATACTGCCAGATGCAGACGTAATCCCTAGTTCTAAGACAGTCCTTAATGTGACAAGTATTGGCTACTGCCAGAAAAATGTACTTTCCTTGTATTTGACTGTACTGAAAATACCCAGAACTATGTTGAAACTGTAGAATATGTATTACTTGGTCTTTATTTTCCTTATACAGTACCCTGAAGGAAACACCTTCCAAACTGATGCAAACCCAAGATAAGCATGCTGAGTAGTGCTCTGTTATCTTTTCTGCACCATCACTAAATACCATTCAATCCCTTTTAGCATCTCCACTGCCTTGTTCTGACTGTTCAACAAAGTAAATGAATAATTTATCCACTGTCAACTCTCACATCTAGCTTATAAGGTAGTAACTTGGGGGTCATCGTTGACCACAAGATGAACATGAGCCTGCAATGTGATGCGGCGGCTAGTAAAGTGACCAAAACGCTGGCTTGCATCCATAGATGCTTCTCAAGCAAATCCCGGGACGTCATTCTCCCCCTGTACTCGGCCTTAGTGAGGCCGCAGCTGGAGTACTGTGTCCAGTTTTGGGCTCCACAATTCAAAAAGGATGTGGAGAAGCTTGAGAGAGTCCAGAGAAGAGCCACGCGCATGATCAGAGGTCAGGGAAGCAGGCCCTACGATGACAGGCTGAGAGCCCTGGGGCTCTTTAGCCTGAAAAAGCGCAGGCTCAGGGGTGATCTGATGGCCACCTACAAGTTTATCAGGGGTGACCACCAGTATCTGGGGGAATGTTTGTTCACCAGAGCGCCCCAAGGGATGATGAGGTCGAATGGTCACAAACTACTTCAAGATTGTTTCAGGCTGGACATAAGGAAGAATTTCTTTACTGTCCGAGCCCCCAAGGTCTGGAACAGCCTGCCACCGGAGGTGGTTCAAGCGCCTTCATTGAACACCTTCAAGATGAAACTGGATGTTTATCTTGCTGGGATCCTATGACCCCAGCTGACTTCCTGCCCTTTGGGCAGGGGGCTGGACTCGATGATCTTCCGAGGTCCCTTCCAGCCCTAATGTCTGTGAAATCTGTGAAAAACTTCAACCCCTGGATTTTAGATGTTGGGATGCCTAAGTTGGGGTTCCTCTGATGCCAGGCTGGTCCTGGCTTGCGTAAACCAAAGCACAAAGAAGTGAGAGATTCCCCAGATGACACAGGGTATGTCTACACATGCTGTTAATGCTATAAAGACTTGCTGACCATGTCTGTATGAGCTACTTACTTCACAGTAGCATGTTAATAGTGTGCAGTAGCTTGTTAGTACTGTGCAGTAGTGTCACGTTGTATGAACTGTGAAGCGACACTACTGTGCAGTAGTTAGGAGCTACTGTATAGTTAGCATCACCCAGAAGCCATGCAGGAATACTACTGTTTAGTAATGCCAGTTACTGCGCAGTCATTTAGTACTTGGTTATGCAAGTGGGGAGCCAGGAGCTGAGCAGTGCCAGGACACTGGGGGGACAGAGAGCTATCCTGTGCCAGTGTTGCCTGGCTCCCAGATCCTGGAGGGGACCGGGAGCTGAGTAGCACTAGGACCAGGGGAGTTCCCCGTCCCCTGTGGCCCACTGGTACTGGGGCTGACTGGGAGAAAATTTGCTCCTGGTCAGTCTTTCCACATGTGCTACTGTGCATTATCTACTGCGCAGTTAGTTTACTATCTGTATTTATCAGTATTAGCTAACTGAGTAGTAGACTCATTTACAGCACAGTAAGTGGTGTGCGCATGTAGATGGTGATGCTTTACCGAACAGTCAGTTAGTCTACTGCTCAGTAAAGTGTTTCATGTAGACACACCCACAAGTAGCTAATGGCAGAATTAGTAATAGAAATGAAGACTTCCTAGCCTGTCCCCAGGTCAACCTGTCACCTACTAAGCTATAACATATTTATTTATAATGAGACAAATGAAAGCTATATGCATATTAATACTGATTTCCCAAAATATACACAATTATTTGCCCTTTTACAGATAGCATACATTTATTCCACAGCTAATCAGATATAAATTGTGCAATGACAAGTACATTCTATATTCCATTCATCCGACATAAAAATATGTTTATTTTAAGAATATTTTAATTATACTAGAACATTTTAACGGTACTAGTGGTTTGAAAACTGTTATACCTCAGACCGCCATAAAGTAGGGTCATAAACTGTGGATAACTGGCAGAAATACACAACAGGGTAATGGCCATTTGGGAGTGTAATACGAAATAGGATTCTACCCAAAATGCTGTCCCATTTTTGCAAGACAGGTTTCTTTTCTGATACTCCAATCTTCAATTCTGGTTATTTTGATGTGGCATAGTTCTAGGATTTACCTTCATATTTTTATACTGCCTTAACACTTGGTTCACTCAAGTGGAATAGAATTTTGTGGCTGATTCCCAGTGTTACAAATAGGTGTTGCCCCATTTAATTAAAACTAAGCAATTAAGCAACATTCAGGGCCTTCCAGAATTGTTTCCATTAGGAGGAAAAATTGGTTATATGACTCATGTGTTTCCTTGGTGTAAACTTCATTTACAAAGACCCTATAAAATCCTCTCTCCTTAAACACAGTGGAAACAAGCAACAATAGGCAATTTCCCTGCTCAGGAATTCTTCAGTGCGCCACTCCAAGAAGTTCTGTGGCCACAAACTTATTCTTAGGGTCCAATTCATAACTGTTTCTCCAGGCCTTCAGTGTCCTTATCATCCTCATGTGGACAACCAGACTCCTAGCACTTCAAATTTAGCTATGATATCTTGCCTTCAGTTAGCTGTGATAATGCCATGAGCCTGGGACAATGTCATGAGCTGACTTTTGTTTCCAAGTATCTTTACTATGGAAACAGAGGTTCCAGAATAACCATCAAACTTCATAGCTTCTGATTTATTTCAGTAAGTTTACTGTTATTGTAGTGTTAATTCAGCAGACTGGTCACATGGTCTCTGAAGATCATGTTATAAAGTTGCCAAATTTTACATGTGAGACACTCCTGTACACCTCTCTCTGATTCATCCACAACATAGTCTCGATTCAGGATGCCATACTGTTGCTTCACAAGTCCTGCTCAGGCTAAGGAAGCTGAGCAGTGAGTGCCCAGTACAGCAATTTTACACCAGTATTTTTGCTTTGTTACTTATGCCTAAAGATAAAAGCATGCTCAAAGTTAAACACTTTTAAATGTTTCAGTGAATTAAGCTCTTTGTGTAGAGCCCACAGTCGAGACCAAACATTTTCACTCCCCTGAATATGTCTGCAGTGCAATCTTAAAAATAAAATAAATAGAATGTACTAAAAAGAGGGGGAAGTGTTCCCAATAATCAAATTCAGGTAGAAAAAATAAGAAGAAAAATGTGAAACAAAACAAAACAAAACAAAAAAAAACCAAAAAACAAAAAACCAAAACAAAACAAAAAAACAAAAGCCCAAAACAAGTAAAGAAAAACTTCATATCTCTAAACCATGTCAAAGATTATCCTCTTGTTAAACCAGGAAGTTAATACATTTTTTCAACTTAAAGCTTAATTCTCTTCTTAGAGCCTTAGCTGCAGATCAGGATTCAAGATTCTACTGTTTGCTTAACTCTCATTATTAATAATTGGAGCTCTTTATAATTAGGAAGATGAACAGTTCTGACATAAGGGTCTTGCCCAGAGAAAGGAAAAAATAAAGATATTATTATTCAAACAAGTTTATTATTCCCAAGTGCCAACTCACAATTTAAAACTATTATATAAACTACTACTGAAAAAATTAATAAGGTCTAATATACTTTGCCAGTTGAATCAGGGCTGTAACACTTGTTAGTAGAAATTCAAGTTGAAGTGGAATCACAGCACTGCAAATTTGCCACTGTCACCATTTAAAGGGACCATCTGTGAAAGAAGTGTGGACAGAAACCCAAGAGATGAGATGATAACACTGCATATTTTGGGGCAGTTCCACTGGAAATTGGGAGAGCTATAACTTAAAACCACCCATCTCTTAATTGAAACTCTATGTCTATACAGGTG